TTGGATTTTATCTCATCTGAGTCAGAGATCCAGTTAGCATCACTGTATCCCTCTAGTACAGCGGGTAACCCACTATAAAATATACCATGATTAATGGTACTTCTCAAATATCTGAGTAACCGCCTCAACGCGGTCCAATGATCCCCACTTGGATTATGAGTATATCGACTCAATCTTCCGACAGCATAAGCTATGTCGGGTCTCGTATAATTCATCAAGTGTAATAGACTTTCAATAATTTGGGAATACTCATATTGAGCCTCGGGATCACCTCTATGTTTTTTTCAAGTGTATATGAGAGTCATAAGGGGTGCTCACGGGGCTGACATTGAAATGTCCAAACCTCTTTAGAAGTTTTTCAGCATAATGCTCTTGAGACAGTATAATACCATCATCCTTCCTTATGTCTTTCATACCCAAAATCACTTTTGCTTCCCCCAAGTCTTTCATAACAAATTTTGAAGCAAGAAAGGATTTTGTCTCATTTATTAGCTCAAGGTTGCTACTAAAAATTAACATATCATCCACATATAAGCAAATAATAATGCACACACCATTTTCACATTTAGTGTATACACACTTATCTACTTCTAGTGAGGTAAAACCATGAGCAAATAATACTTCATCAAATTTTTCATTCCATTGTTTTGGAGCTTGTTTTAAACCATATAAAGATTTGATCAACTTACACACTTTGTGTTCCTGACCAATAACTACATGACCCTCTGGTTGCACCATATAAATTTCTTCCTCTAGCTCACCATTTAAAAATGCAGTTTTAACATCCATTTGATGGACAAAAAGTTTGTGAATAGAAGCCAAGGCAATTAAAGTTCGAATGGAAGAAATACGTGTTACCGGTGCAAATGTATCAAAATAATCAACATCTTGTTTTTGAGAAAAACCTTTCGCCACAAGCCTCGCCTTATATTTATCAATTGAACCATCCGGGTTTAATTTCCTTTTAAAAATCCATTTGCATCCGATTGGTTTACAACCTTTTGGTAAATCGGTTAAAGCCCAAGTTTTATTTTGTTTGATTGACTCAATTTCGTCTTGTATGGCCTCAAGCCAAAATGGAGCTTCTTTTGAAAAAATAGCTTGTGAATAAGTTAAAGGCTCATCGTCAACAAGATATGTATAAAAATCATTTCCAAAGGATTTTTCTATCCTTGGCCTCTTACTTCGTCTAAAAAGAGAAGGTTCGTCATTAAAAGTATCATTTTCTTTTAATGGATCACAATTGCTAGAGGAATCATCATTAAAGGTTTCATTTCCTTGTAATGGATCATACTCACTATATGGTGCAGTGGTCTTGTGTTCACGTTTCAAAGGAAACACATTTTCAAAAAATTCAGCATTTTTTGTTTCAACAATTGTATCACATTCAAGCACATCACTTTGCAAGACAAGGAATCTATAAGCAGCACTAGATTCAGCATAACCGATAAACATGCAATCAGAAGTCTTAGAACCAATTTTCCTCTTCTTAGGATCAGGCAATAAGACCTTAGCTAAACACCCCCACACTTTCAAATATTTCAAATCAGGCGCAAAACCTTTCCACAATTCATAAGGGGTTTTCTTATTGTGCTTATAAGGAATCCTATTTTGTAAGTGACATGCAGAAAGAATAGCCTCCCCCCAAAGATTATCAGGTGCACCGGAACTAACTAAAAGAGCATTCATCATATCTTTTAGTGTCCTATTTTTTCTTTCAGCTATTCCATTAGATTGGGGTGAATATGGCGGAGTAACCTCATGAATAATCCCTTCTTTTTCACAAAAATCATTAAATAAAATATACTCACCCCCTCTATCCGATCTAACTCTCTTAATCTTTTTATTTAATTGATTTTCTACCTCAGATTTATACACTAAAAATTTATCAAAAGCCTCGTCTTTATTTTTAAGCAAATAAACTTTAGTGTATCTGGAAAAATCATCTATAAAGGTGACATAATATTTTTTACCACCTCTAGTCATGGTATTTTTTAAATCACCTAAATCCGTGTGAATTAAACTAAGCAATTCCGATTCCCTATATATGGAGGGACAAGATTTTTTGGTTAGTTTAGATTGAACACAAACATCACATTTTTCTAGTGCCATATTATTTTTAAAAGAAATCAAACCACAATCACTTAGCATTTTAACATAAGAGTTACTTACATGTCCTAGTCTAGCATGCCACACATCGTAAGAATCAACTAAATAAACCGAAGCATTATCATGCAATATTTCAGAAATACTAAGCACAAAAAGTCCATTCTTATAATAGCCATTTCCCACAAGAAAGTCATTTTTGGTCATAACAAAATTGTCACAACCAAAAGACACTTTAACCCCAACTTTTCCCAAGAGAGAAACAGAAACCAAATTAGTCTGAATCTCGGGCACATGCAACACATCATTTAGTGATAAAGTTTTCCCCGATGTGAGCTTTAGAAGAACTTTCCCTTTTCCATGCACCTTAACGGTTTTAGAGTCCGCTAGGTACACGAGCTCTTCACCATCTCCTATAATAGTATAGGAGGTAAAATCATTTTTGTTTTTACAAATATGCTTGGTAGCCCCGGAGTCTACCACCCACTCATTCACATCATTAGTTTTACAACTTTGAGAAACAACCGCAATGAAATTATCATCACTACAAACCAAGTTTAAACTTGATTTTGGTGGGTTGTTGTTTTTCATAGTTGTCATTTTACCACTAAATAAAAGAATAACATTTCTCTTAAAAAATGGTGTTAAAGTATGGCTAATTGTAAGTAGGAAAGTGAAGAGAGTAATCATTGTACGTAGAGATATATCCAAATACCGGTCTAAATCACAACACACATGCAAAGATAACATAGCCGCGATGAGTGTGACGGTGACAGCTTGTAAGATCATGTGTGCAGGCATATCCGACGCCAAATACTTTCTTGAGATTGTTGGAGGAAATTTGGCCGGATAAACCTGCAAAAAAGCGTTAGAAAATAATATAGTTCGAGTCACGTGAACGCTGTCCTCAAGAAAGTATTTCCGACTAGCGAAAACCTTTCCCCAAGATAAAACGAGCTCTTCAGCTTACGCCGGTAACAGAACAACGAGAGTAGAATAAAATTAATTCAGCAGAGTTGTAATCTATAAGGGGATGTTTTAGCTCAAAATTGTCTGTCTTACACAGCTGGCCGAAGGCACACACACACATATATATATCCATACAAATGATAAACGTTGCTGGCCAGATATATTAGTTCGTAGAGCCAACGTTCGCATGCATTGAAAATTATAAACGTTGGAGCACTTTAATATCACTACACTAATTGAGAAGGTTATTAAACATACGTTTCTTAATTCAATGATCTGCTTTAACGTTATTATTTTGAAGAGCTCAATCAACCATTCATTAACTTTAAATGGAATGCATGAAAATATAAATTTGATTTATAGAGTAATATTATTATTGGATAATAAGAGAAAATAATTTTAGCTATTTTATTCATCTGAAATATTCCATTTTTTTCAACACCCGTTTGGTAGCATGAAAATCGGCTGATTTGGTTGATTCTGCTGAAATTTATTAAGTTCTGGTTGAAGTGGTTGCATTGGCTGATTCTGTTGATTTAAGAAGAAAAAAATTTAAAATATACTAGTATTTTATTAATAAAGTAAAGAAAAAATTATATGTAAAAATAGCTAAAATGGTCATAATAGTAACTTCAGCCAATACAGCCAGAAAAGTAACTCCAACCCTACTTTTTTCTGCATATTACACAATTCAGCGCTTGAAAACAAAAGATACGAGTTTGATGAAAAAGTTAACTGACAAGCTAAAAAACAGTGCTACCAAATAACATCTGAGATTTGTAAACACCATCCATGCTCTCCATGGCAAAATTGCAAAACTTAGAAGACACGGGACGTTATTGGTGCTGAGCCTAAACACATCCCGTCTACTTCCATCTCGCCATTTTAGATTTTGTTAACATTTCTTTATTATTATACCATTTCTAAGCAACAATATATATATATATATATATATATATATATATATATATATATATATATATATATATATATATATATATATATATATATATATATATATATATATATATATATATATAGGGTCGTGTTCTAATGAGAAGACATCTTAACGTGAGAAGTGAGAAGTTACACATTTACCTATTTCAGATGCACTTTTTTGCTAATCCGATGCACTTTTTGCGATGGCAGAAAAGTTTCGATTAATTACGGAAATGCCACCGCGTCTAGCATCATTTTTTATTATTTTTTGCACTTTCCCATGCACTTTTTGCTAATCTGATGCACACATCTTAAATTGAACGCACCAGATGCATTCTCAGTTCTTACGATAAGCACTCTTCTCATTTGATCCTTATTTTATATATATATATATATATATATATATATATATATATATATATATATATATATATATATATATTAATACTTCATATAAATACTATCTATACACTAATTCTTTTTAGGCTGGGCCTAGGTCCTCTCTAGCCCTAAGGCAGATCCGTCCCTCCTACCAAAGAAGGCATCGCAGCAATACTCCTTCTGTCCCGAAAAATACTTCCTGATTTGACTTGAATAGAAGTTTAAGAAAGTGAGAATGAAATAGAAATGTGTGATTATGATTGAATAAGAAAAATGTAAACGAATGATAGCCACACAAATCTTTTTGAAAAAGGAAAATGAGAAGAATTTTTTGGAACATAATTAAAAGATAAATGAGAAAAAAAATTGGGGACAGAGGGAGTAATTCACGGCATAACAAACTAGTCAAAGATTGAGTCAAACAAGCGTCTCTAAAGTAGTGTACATTTGATTTAAAGCACTGAGTGGGTTAAACATTAAATTAAAAAAGAACGGTCAAATACTTCGACCAAGGCATTTTTTTCTTTTACAACGGTAGTGTTCTTGACCAGGACATATCAAAGAAAGAAAAAATGAGTACGGACAAAGCTAGGATGTAAACCAACATAAACGTGAAACAACAACATATGGTGAAGTTAAGGTCCGATATAAGCGGGCTTACCTTGTACAATTGTGCTAAAACATAGAGACTATTTCTGAATGACTAATGATGAAAATCAAGTCGAAAATTGCATAGACTAATTGTTACTTCATAATAAAGAAACACATATAGTGAATTGTTTTTTTTATTCCATCATATTCAACAAATACATGCACATAAATAAAATGATGATGAATTGATGATATGCAGAGACCAAAGGTGAAGCCTATAGTTGCAGAGACAAATCTGTTGAGCTTCCATCTTCGTATACACCAGAAAATCTTACTCCTGATATTACCCACTCCTTCAAAACTCTAATGCTAAAGCTGGAGTTGCTGCATCTGGATATCAATCAAAATCAGTGGTGGTTGGATTCAGGAAGATGGAACCAAATCCAAGAGATAATTTCCCATAAGATTAGTATTGATTTGACAATTAAGGAAACCATTCAAGAATTAGGCTATAGTAAAGTGAGGATGGTTTCATTTTGAGGAAACTAGTAATTCTAGTCCTCCAATAATAGGGAAATAGTAGATTTAGTCCCTCAATTACTAGTCTCTTCACTTTAAGTCCATCAGCTATTATGAAAGTGGGGTGTTTACTGTTTAGCCCCTCACTGGAAGATTTTAGTTTTATAATATAAAATCATTTAAATATCTCATTTTAAAAATAATTGCATAAGATTACAGCCAAATATTGAAATACTTTTTGCTCAAAAAGAAGAACTACTTTACAATATAAATTGTTTAAACAGCTAACGTATTTCATTCATTATACCTTTTGTGTATATCAGTATATGACTTTCTAAAGAGTAAAGACATGATAATAAATTTTGAAATGTAAATTGTATAAGCATTTGCGTCCATTCTTATACAATTCTCTTAATTATAAAAATAGAGACTGATAGAATTCATATTATTCACAATTTTTCTCTGCTAATGAGGATTGTGGGGCTACTAAAAACACCACTTTAGTAATAACTCAATTACTAAAGCAGTGACACAAGATAGTAGAGGCAGTAAATCCACTACTTCCGTGTGATACAATGATAGGTGTGCTAAAAGTGTGCTAAAAGTGTGCTAAAAGTGTGCTAAAAGTGTCATTTGCCCTAATTCTAGTATCTTATTCACAGTTATGTATGACTATTGAGATGCACATATCATCCTAATGGACGAGCATTTGCATATAACACAGAGACATAGACTGTACTTGAGTGGTGGCATATGATGAGCTCTGAGAAAGGTTTTTGATGAACTCTATTTTTTTTACTTCAAAGTTGAACCTGACATGGTCTAGCAATGCTTGTTCTCTCTGCATGTCTTCTGAAATTCTTTCCCTTTCCCATTTAATTTCTTTAACTTTTTTCTCAATTTGGAAAACGTTCTGAGACGGATATGTCCTTCCAAACTTCTTGGGAAACTTCACATCTACATCCCTGCATCCGCAAATAACACACACACACACACAGAGAGAGAGAAAAATAATACCAAAGCATCTCAATGAAACAAAAAATACTACATATGTTATATTAACAGATTTATTGATGACAGTTATTCTTTTACCTGCTTCCCAGGGAAAATATGCCAGCACCTTTTATAATTCCACCATCCAAAGAGATCGCCCCGCTGTTTATACATGGGAGAGCTCGAAGCATCTCGATCCTCGTTTGGTACACTTGTAAGCGTGAAAAGAGGTGATAGAACAAGGTCTCTCTTAGGCCATGACCATTGCTCGTTACACAAAACAGATTAGTGCTATCCACATTGATCATATTTACTGCGAACCCAAGAAAACCAGGTGGAGATTCCCCATTTGGTAATTTGGGTTTTGGAAGATCAAGCCTTCTTTGTGGGTCATCAGCTATGAAATCACCAGCAAATGGACTAAACAGCAAACCATAAGAAGGCAACTTTAATCTTAAAACCATAAGAAGGATTTAGAAGTACACCCTAAGTCTTAAAAAAGAGTCCAGTTTTAATAGTCAAATATAATCTTAAAGTAAAATTCCTTTCAAGCCAAGCAGCAAGCGGTAATAATCAATCTTCTCCAAACAATCTTGAAAATGAGTTTTGACTATTCACAACTTGTAGAAACATTAAAAGTAAATAAAAGGTTGCCAAAACTAATTCAACAAGGTTTCCAAAAATAACATCACAAGTCATAACCAGCCTAACCTTAAGTTTTCAAGGCAGATGGCAAGAAACCTGCCATCCAAAGGCCGCCCGATGGTCCATCCAAGTGCATGAAGTCCCAAGCCTTTATTTACAATGCCATCTTGGTCATATGTTTCCAGCAGCCTGACACCATCATAGGTCTTGCATACCACAGCTAACATGGTCTCTAGTCCCAAGTAATCTGAGAGAACCCTTCATTTCAGATAAGCCAAGGAGAAATGTCAGGCATTGTACTGCATAATTATGCCTATGTCTAATTTGTCAACTAACCTGCTTTTAGAATATGGAAGCTAAAAGTTTCATCATTTTTTTTTACTCCAGGGGGGCCTGGAGTAATAAGGGCTGAAACTCACTCCATTAAGTTTCAAACCCTTATGTGCCTAGCGGGTTTCGAACTCGAGACCTCCCACTAGGCACGGTAACCCTTATGTGAATAGTTGAGTACTAACGACAAGTCCAGTAGCTCACCGGTGTCACATGGTCTACCAAAAACTTGTATTCATTTCACATGAAGCACCATCTTTGTTGAATTGTTGATCAGAGATTTAGAGAAAAATACAGTTGAGATGACTTTTCAAACACAATTTAAGAATTGAACTAATAATGTAAGTCCAGCAGATGGTAAACAATCGATAAAAACTAACAGTTAATAAAAGGGAGCAAGTACAAATCACAAGGTAAAAATAACTAACCAGCTGAGTTTATCATCTTCAACTCTTGCAAGTGTGGCAACAACACCAAGCACATCCTTTGTTATTGGAGAATTATACTCCCGGATGCCATGAAGAGTTTTCAGTTGGCAGAAAATCGCAGCTGCAGATTTCTCATGCTTTAAAATCCGTTCAATTGTTTCCTCCTCACTCCGTACATAGGAGAGACCATCATTTTCAATTGCAGGGCTGGTTGCTGAATGATATTTGCCAAGTGCAACTATATACAAAAAGAGAGAGAAAATGGGAAAAGCACATTGCACAAAGTCACTAACATTATACTTTGTAGTAAAAATGTGAGATGAATGTATGAAACAGTGTGAGGCGAAGAAGAAATGTAACTTTTGTATTGAAAACATAATATTTGGTTTAAAAAATTAGAACACATCATTGACGGTTTTATACAGATTACAGAGAAGGCTAACAGATGTTTAATCATTCTTTGCTAGTATATCTAGAATGCCAAACACAGGATATGTTGCATTTCTTTTTTTCCCTCCCTTTCCTTTCTCTCTTCCATTTTTGCATGCCAAACAGAGGCTAAAGGCTAGACTGGCACTAGGAAATCATTAGATAGGGAATTACATATAGCACAATGGTATCACACATCTTCAAAACTACTCATGATGATTTTATGCAATATTCGGAATTGAATACGTAGAACTGGACCTTTTTTTAGAGAAACTGTATATCTTTTGCAATATTGTTTCTTTCAAGTACCTTTCTTTTCATAAGAAGAGCATATTTTTTTATATATAATAAAAATAATTACCTTGTAGATCTATAATCGAATCATCCAATTTGTTCTTCTTAGTCTTTAAAAACTTCATATTTTCTTCATGGTGCTTGACTCTCAGACCAGCCTCTTCTAATGCATCCTGACGTTTCTGCAGTATTTGGTCACAAGTACAGTATTATATTTGTATGATATTTACTAATATAATTAGATAAATAAGAACTCCCATAACAGAACTTGTGTGTAACTCTGCAGAGTAAAAAATATATAACCTTCGCTTTGTAGGCAGGTGAATCTGCAATACTATTCTGTACTCCCTGGTTAGCAAATGGAGATGCACTGTTCTGGCCTATGTGGTTCGACATTGATGGATCATGCATAAAAATTGCCTTTGCGTTGTTTGAAATCCAGCAACCAAACCAAATTAGAAGAACATAACTTCATTAGTAATTATCTCCGATATATTCAATACAAAGTACTATTTTAAACACTGGGCTACAAAATCTCCAAAAGCAGAGCTTTCCTTAGCAAAGCTCCAAAGCTTAAATATATTACAAATTTACAATGCATAATCAACATTTGATACTTAACAAGAAAGGTCATCATCAGAATTTTCAAATCAATTTTCCTATCTTTTCTCTTCTTTTTCAAGGCATTTAGTATTAACATTCAACCCTTCAGTTTTTTTCAATTCAGACAATGCAAGAATCTAAAAAAGAAATCACACTTGTTTTATCAAAATGAGTTTTGAACCCAGCTAACCAGCCTCAAAACTAACCGCCTTCACACTTAGATGACGTAAAAACAAATTTGACCTTGCATTGAAACTTTTTCAACATGAGTTTTAATGGTATTAGCATAGCAGGTGATGTTTGGATCTACTTTTTTAAAAAACTGCTATTGTTTCTAGAAACAGTTTTTAAAAACTGCAAAGGGTGGAAGTACTTCCGGGTGCTCCAATTGCTTCTAGAAGCAGTTTTTTAAAACAATGGGTGATCGGTTTTAAAAATTTTTTAAAAGCTAGAGGATATCAACTTTAAGAAAGTGATTCTGTTTTTAAAAAAGAAGCAGAAACAAGAATCAATTATTCCAAACACCCCGGAGGTGCATGATAGGTTCTACCTTTAAGCTCCCCGAGTTGGCGAGTTGCAGCAGTAGGCAACCAAGAAAATTAAGAATTGAAAATTTGAAAGAGAAAACGATTGTGCAGAAACACATGCATGACAAGAATGTCGTAGGGGTATCACGGAGCAATGTGCCTCTGTAATAATGGAAGAATAAAAGGCAAACAGGCCCTCTTTAACAAAAGAAATTGGAATCAGTGGGATCATATAAACAAAAGTGAAACCTGAAATTGCTCGTCGCCGATCATAGCCGGCGGCGGTTAGGAATGACGTGGAGAGCTGAGCTGAGAGTGATAAGCACGTGAGAGGCGCTGAAAAATCAAAACCAATGAAGTAATTAATCCGTACCATCATACGGAGTAGTATTAATCAAGACGTGCATTAAAGTAATACTCCTACTACGTAATACTCCTCCGGTAAGTTAGATAAGTACGGAGTATTTTAGTGGGAATTTCATGGATAGGATTAAAAAAGTTTTGAAATTTAAAAATAGGAGTATCATATTTTTTATTCCTTGAGTAAGAGTAAATTTATGCCAAATTTGGCATTACTAGACTTTAAAACATGACATTTTTTTTCAAATTTGACAGATTACTTTTATTCTGAGAATAAAAAATATGATACTCCTATTTTGAAATTTCAAAATGTTTTACTCCTATTTAGAGCAATTTCTAGTATTTTATTCTTATACTACGTATAATACTCGTATATAACTATATACATATCAATTCTAATCCAAGTATTTAGAACTCAACTTTTAAATGTAAATATGTAATGTAATACTTTCATGTGTGAATTGCTTATAGGGTTAATTCCACTAATAGGAAACTAGTGAAATAATAGGAGTTCAAAATTTGGTAGGAGTAAAAAGGGCTCGACTTGACTAGTTATATTTTTCGACAAAAAATATACTTCCCCGTCCCATTTTACTTAGTCAATCTTGACTTTTCAAATCAATGGAGACTAACTTTGATCGGTTATATGTTTATATAAAGAAAGTTTTAATAATATGAAAATGATATGAAAATGTTCTTTGTTGAAAATACTATCATAAAAGTATAAAATTATTAAATTTTGCATAAATATATTAGTTTAAATAATTGGTCAAAGTTTGCCATCTTTGATTGGAAAAATCAAAGGTGGCTAAGTAAATTGGGACGAAGGGAGTATGTCATTGTGTATGAGTAATATGACAAGAGTCAGTGTAGTGTATTTCAGAGTGACGAGTCAAAAGTAGATGACGAGTCTCTGCGAACAAGTCATTAAATATGTCACTTTTTTTTTAATTTTTTTAAAATAAGTTACTCCCTCCATCCCGAAAAGGTTTGCCAAATTGACTTTTCTTGGTCAATGACAATCAACTTTGACTAATGATATTTTTTAATACGAAATTATTTTGAATATTAAAATTATATCAAATTCTTCTTTATTCAAAATATTTTCATAAATCATTGTCCAAAGTTTGCAATCATTGACCAAGAAAAGTCAATCTGGCAAACCTTTTTGGGACGGATGTAGGATAAGTTTGGCATAACTAGCTGAAAAGATATTTGTATGAGCTTTTTCGCAACTGTTAGCTTTTAGTGACTGAAAAGATCTTAAAAAGAAAAGACAATAGTTGTTTGGTAAAAAAGTGACTGTTTGATTTAGCTCTGTTTGGTATACAAGCTATTAGGACTAAGGCTATGTTTCGCACGCATAAGCCTCTGCCTTGTAGCTTTTGTACTGTTCAAAAAGTCTTAAAAAGCTTCTAGTTTCATGTTTGGCTTGACAATTTTTAAGAGCTTTTCAAAAATTAAAAGATCTTTTTTGAAATGCTACAGGGAGTAGCATCTGATAAAAGCCCGTGACTTTTAGTATTAATTAGTCCTAACAGCTTGTATACCAAACCGAACTAAATCAAACAGTCAGCTTTTTACCAAACAGCTAGCACCTTTTCTCTTTAAGATGTTTGCAATCACTAAAAGCTAACAGTTATTAAAAAGCTTATAAAAGTATCTTTTCAGCTAGTTGTGCCAAACATACCCTAATTAATGCTAGAAGCTACAGACTTATCTGAGAGGATATTCACTGTAGCATCTCAAAAAAGATCTTTTATTTCTATAAAAGCTCTTAAAAATTGACGTGCCAAACATACAACTAGAAGCTTTTAAAAACTCTTTAAATAGTATAAAAGCTAGAAGGCAGGAACTTATGTCCACCAAACATAGCCGTAGTATACTTTTATCTTTTGAAAAGATACTCTAGATGCCTCAATCGACATCTCGATACGTGAAAGCCAGTTGTTTGGTTAATGGCCTTCCAGGATCGGCCATCAACCCCTGAAGCCCAACAACCAAGGGACGTGCGTGGCCCACCACAGCCAGGCCTCAAGGTCCAAGGGCCAGGGGACGTACGTAGCCCGTCATAGCCAGACCTCAGGGTCCAAGGGCCAGGGGACATGCGTAGCCTGCCATAGCCAGGCCTCGGGGTCCAAGGGCCAGGGGACGTACGTAGCCCGGTATAACCAGGCCTCAGGGCCCAAGGGCCCAGGGATGGACGTCTTGTGGGCTATACTTAAAGGCCCAGGTTGCCATCAAAGGGTTGAGTCCAATTTAGGGGACGGACGTCCCCCGCGTTATGGCGGGAAACCAAGATCTTGGCGGGAAGCGCATTTAATGCTGAAGATTTGGTGGTTGGAATCATGTCGCCCACACCCGGCCACATCAGCCCCCCAACCACCAAGGTGTACTATAAATAGCCGCATTTATTTCATTGTAAGGGGTTCGCACATCGTTACTCTAGAATTGTAATAGCGTCAGCAGTACGTAGCATATTTTCAGTACGTTCGGCCTTTTCGGCTTGTAATCACAATATTGAAGAAAACAGTCATTTAATCCACCCCCGTTGATTTAGTGAGTTCATTTGCTTTCTACCCATTCGAAACCCCCAGGTTACGTGTTGGGCCTGCGGGTTGAGGGGAATAAACCTCAACACTGGCGCCGTCTGTGGGAAGTACGAACGAGTGAACAGAACACAAGCTGTAAATACAAGGAGATTTTATTCTTCGGCCTTACTAGCCGGAACGTACAATTAAGCAGAAGAAGGAACTAGTAAGCTATGTAAGAAAACCGTGGGAAGGGGAGTGTGGGGAGGCCGGCGGATCTTCTGCTGGCACCACGGGAAGCTCGGGAGTGGGGGATCAGGGATATCACCCCTCTGAACAGCCGCCGCGCGCTGCTCGGCTCGGTCAAGTTTGCCCATAACTCGCTGAAGCTCAGCCCCATCGGTGTAATCATCCACATTAAACGGGGGACAACTGACCAGAGGAAGCACGCTCCTAAGGGCTTTTACACCTTCAAAATACCCCTTGGCAAAGGCATCATCAGCAAGATCCGCAAGCCACTCACCACCAAGGACAGTCTTCCCCAAAAGCTGCACCCCATGATCCAAACGCTTCGTACCCACCACCGACTGCAGCTCGGCTTCAAAAACCTCTCCAGCAGCGCCCCGACAATACTCGTAAACGGCCTAGAGGAACTGAGAGGTTTTCTTGAATTCCTCCACGTTAAGGGATAGGGTCAGAACGTCAGCGGAAGGATCTCCACCTTCGGGACGGGGGGCAGGGTCTGCGGCAGGAACAAACGAAATCCCATACTTCTCAACAAGGGCTACCTTGGCGAGCAGGCCTTGTTTCTCACGTTCGCCCTGAGCACGAATGGCCTGGAGCTCCTGTTGGGCCTGGGCCTGGGCAGCCTGCGCTTTCTTCGCCTCTGCCTGAGCGCCCTCCCGCTGCAGCGAAGCCTCCTGCTCCCTCTTAAGGGCCGCATCGGCCTTCTTCCTGAGCTCGGCGAGATCTCTCTCTCGAGCAGACCTAGTTTGCAGCAAGCTCAGCCCGGCCTGCAAAAAAGGAAAATGGTTTAGGTGGAAACAAGGAGCCGAGTTAGAAGATAACACAGAAAACGACTAGAGAACATACCTCAAGGCTCAGAAGCAGGGCGTTGTCAACAGAGTCGCCCGAGGAATGACCTGATAGCTCCAGCCCGGCCTGGAGAGCCATGTCCTTCCAGACCTCAGAAATGGGACGAACGGCGGAGGGAACCGCGACGCTCGTAGACTTGGGGGCAGAGGGCTCAAGACGCGGCCTCTTCGTCTTCTTCCCCTTATCCTTATCCCCGCCAACAGGGATAGCAACGCCGACCGGGTTCACATTCAGAACCCGGTTATCTTGAGGAGGGGCCTCGGAGGTTTGCCCGGTCACCTCAGCAACCAGAAGCCGCTCTGCATCGGCGACCCGCTGACTAGCCTGGGACGCGGCCGAAGAGGTAGCCCCAGAGGATTGAGTAGCTGCACGGGCTTTAGCTAGCAGCTCCCGTTCCTTGGCAGCTTTTGCCTCATGTCGAAGTGCCATAGCCGCGCTGTCCATCTGCTCTCGAGTAGGGGGAGGACCTGAAAAATGGAAAAGTAACATTAGTATCGGGCGGTGCGAATCACAAAGGCACTCTCCTCAGGGAACAGACCGCCCGGGCCCACAAGATGAACACTAGAGGAGGCCAGTCCAGGGATCATGGGCTGTACTTATCCCAGCGTTGGAGAGTGCCTCGATGGTCAGAAGGCCTTTTAATTTCCTAACGCCGCCCAGCCTCAGCTTGTCCACGGCTTCCTGCAACACTGGGGTCAGCTCCGGTGTCTGGACCTTCGGAGGGTACCCGTTCCACCGTACAGGGAGCCGATCGTTCACATAACGAAGAAAGAAGTAAAGGTTCTTCCAGTCATGGATAGAGGAGGGAGCCCCCTCGAACAACTTTCTCTTAGGACGAGCGGCCACGCTCAGGAACCCATCAGCATTTTGGGGGGTAACTTGGAAAAAGTAATGGAACAGCTCCAGGGAGAAGGCGAGCCCCAACGATTTGCAAAGGACAAGGAACACAAAGATCTGGCGGTAGGAGTTCGGCATGAATTGAGTCGGGGCCACGCTGTAGAACTCGAAGAAATCCAGGTAGAACGGATGTAACGGGAATTGCAGTCCGGCCTTCAGAGAGTTTATATGTACCATCACCATCCCCGGACGTCTCATAAAAAGATTATCCGCACCCCGGAGGCTATAATAGGCAGGTGGGGGGAGGAGAACTTGCAGCTCCCTCAAGGCCCTTTTTGAAAAAACTTGCTCGATCACAGCTACGTTCGGAATAAGCACAATGTGCCTATGATCGTCCATGGGGATGCCCCACTTGTAGATTCGGAGGTCATCCCCTTCTTCAGCCTCATCACCCGAATCGTGGTCGGCTGGAGGCCCTGGCCGAAGAACCAGAGGGAGAACCGGAGCTAGTCTCCGAGGAGGAAGAAATCTCCGTTGAACAGGCCATGGGAAGATGTACGAGAAGGAGGGAGAAGATTGGGGTCGGGGA